TGGCTCATTGGAAATGCGTTGAAACATATGTATGAACATTTCTTATTTTAATGAATTCAGATTTTCTTGGAATCTCATTTGTGTTATCATAAACAATTATAATAAGAGGACTGAGAACATTTATTGCTTTGTATTCAACAAAACATTGATTTAATAGTGTTCGCATTCACTTCAAAAACAAAAACTTTGAAAGTGCATTAAAATTCCATTCGTTTCGTCAACAATCAGTTCAGCCAGCAATATGAACCAATTCATTTGCTGCACACAAATAATGTTGACGTATTCTGATGTCATTTCATTTTTTGCCTGAATCTGAACACTCTCCATATCACTTGTTTGCTTATCATTGATAACAGTAACAGCAAAATTGATAACAACAAGTGATATGATTGATATCACTTGTTGGCTTATCCTTATCATTTCTCAATAAGCTGTTACAATCTTTAATAACGTCACTTCGAACATAATGACGTTTCTATTAGTTAACCAACGGACGGAAGTGAAAAATGGCACCATGCGACATTTGGTTGACGACATTATCCTAACTAAGAACTGTTTTTGTCAGTCTTATCATTATCGTTCCATCGTCAACTAAAATTCTTATTAGATCACTTATCACGTCTTCTTCATCTACTATACAAATATTCTGCATTTTTATACGATCAAGAAAAAGACACTTATATCAAGAGTTGACCATAAAAATTTATTGTTCATTTCACAAGCGTCACTTCCTTCCGTTCATCGACTCTTGTTACATTCAACAATTAACGAGCACACCGTTAGTGCACTGGTATGCATCACCTGCACGGTAGTACACTTATCATCAAAGAATCATTCTGATAGCAACCAATCACTGCTCTTATCACATTACAGTAATATCACTGGTTTTTCTCAGAAGCTAAAGGCGTTCGTTGCACTCTGCTGCCAAGCATTGCACAGCATCGCTCACTCTTTCACTGCTAACAGCATAGAAAAGAAACATTAGAGTAGACTCACTACCAGCTGAGCCAAGCGCTGACATTAACAACTATGAAGTTATGAACTTATGAAGAAGGACCAACAAGAATGGTAATATCGAACAATTGCAGTTGTATTTTGTTCAGTTCAAACGGATATCGTCGCTCAGGATCCTATCGCAAAAAGTCGAGAAGCATGAGCATAACAATTTCATGCCATTCGCTCAGAATCGATGAAGATACGTACATATTCCATTTGTTGGAAACGATATAAAACGAAAGAGAAAAAACAATGACATATGTAGATCTGGTCTGTCTGTTGTGTATAACTGGCAGATGGCTAACTCGTCGGTTGAAGCTAAATTCGGCATATAAATCCATCCGCTCAGTCTCGTTGCTTTCATTAGTCCCTTTCCATACTCTCATACATTGCTCACTCAATAAAGGCAGTCATTCAAATACATCATCTTTCGTTAGCATTTAATCTATTACATTTTGCCTACTATACCTCGTTTGTTTCATTAATTCTCCGTTCACCACTCGGCTCAATCAGAACAGAATTTCTCCGGCTAAGGGGAGACAAACGCATAACTTTGCCCCACTTACTGGGCTCCTAGCGTTTTTTTATTTATTAGGCAATTATCACTGTTTCCTTCATAAATTGATCAAATTCTTATATTATTCACAAATCATAACACTAGTAACTTTCAAAATTAGTCATTACTAGTCCTTTATCCCCTTTTCGTTATCTGGACATGATTTGTTTTTGAACGCTGATCTGTAGATTTCCTGAACAACTATTGATTAATCATCTTCGTTGCTGACGCAATATTGCATGATTATGCCGCATGTGGCACTCTTACAATCGTTCGGCTTAACTGCAGGAAAAGTGCAAAAATTGAATACTGAAATCTCTAATCAAAAGAACGGTGTCTGATTCCACTCTATACTTCGCATATCTTTCTCATTGCATTTTGCCTAGTGCGCTTTCCATCATCCACACTGCTGTCATTTCATCACACATCCATCCACCTATACGAATTTATATTATAGCAAATGTTAATAACAACATGATAGACAACGAGAACGTCGATAAAATTTTGGCTGACCATGAAGAGGGCGGTTGGGTCGAGAAGATGCTGCTATACGATTAGATCGGATACTTTGGTTGCACAAGTTGCAGAACACAATCATTTTCAGATGAATTTTTGCAAACATATTGGAAGGAGATCATGACCTGTGCAATAGTTTGCTTTGAGTTTGTGTCACATTGATTACCGAACCCCGTTCGTGCATGCACCAGTAAGCACATTTTTGAATGATTCACGGTTTGTTGTGTGTTAATTCATGGCTACTTCCTCGAGTCGAATCTGATATGATCCTATGCATATCCTTGATAAGTGATGTTTTCATATTCCCTCTGATGAACAATCATTTTCAAACTTTAAAAGTGAACTTTGGAATGTCTGTAACAAATTTCTCGATTGTCTCTACTAGTGTTACTGGAGGGGTAACTTTCGGCCGAGGGGAGGGGGGAAGGGGGGAGGGGAAAGAACTCGACAAAAGAGTTGAGGAGCAAATTAACGCATTTTCAAAGGAAATTTTCCCACTCGATGTACACGTCGAAAAAGAAAACGAAAACGCGGTTCAGTGACAACTCATATCCCGATTCAGGCTTCAAATGAAAATGTGTAATATGGAAACGCTCAACCAGGCCGCACCAGGATTCGACAATCATTCGGTTCAGCGAATTTTTGAATCGCTTGCATAACAATCATCTACAAACATGATATTTTCTCGTTTTGGATTTTCAACTGCGCTCCAGTTAGCATCACAATATTTACAAGCCTATTCTTAGCGATTTTCACCAACATTCGAGCACTTGAGCCAAAAAACTGTACTTTGCTGGTGACGAGTTTGGAAGAACATGACTCTTTTGAAATGAAAACCCTTGTAGATTCACTTTTTCGGTATAAAATTTCATCTAATTCACCGGACCAACTTAGATATGCAATTAGGTGTATGAGCAAGTACAAATTGCCTCCACGAGGGCTGTTCTGCGCTAGCCCATCGTTTGCTCATACACCTAATTGCATATCTAAGTTGGTCTGGTGAATTTCAATCCGCTTCGGTCGAAATTTCTGAACTTTGCTCACTGCTCAATATCCTGAAAGTGGAACACTAACTAAGGATGTTTCAAGTAAAGCAATGCGAGTACAGTTGCTATACATGTGCAGTTGTTGCTGAATAATTGTTGCTGTGCATTGAATTACACTTAAACGAGCACATATTGCATGCATATAACTATCATGGATGTTCTTTCACCTCTTGTACGCTTCGTCCAAGCGTAAGCACGAGTTCGAGTTAGCTTGTGCCCAAGTTAAATCTTGAACTCGTGAGGGGACCTCGTCAAAAAAAATCGAGGAGCGAATTAATCGGCGGTGAGTCTTGTGGAGAGGAATTCGTCCGGTGGTCGACCGACCAGAAATTCGAGGGCAAAACTGTCGGGGAACTACTCATCGCCCGTGTCATCGACGGTAACCCCGTTCAGCGTCGGAGGCTACTCTACATTTTACTATCTACATTTTGTCATCTTCTCTATTTCTCCATCTTTGCCATCCAAAAGCATCCCAATTATGTGGTGGACAAACGCCGTAATGTTTCTGAATGGAAACAGAAGAAGATCGAGCGAGAAAGCGCTCCCTTCTGAACTCAGAAGAAGTTTGAATAATTTGCGAATCTACTACACAACTGCCGCTGTTTATGAGACGAGTTAGGTGTGAGCTCTCAGCTTCAACCATTCCATTTTTCACGACGCTAAACTCATGAATCGCACCTGTCAAAATCTTGAAAGGATGACCTGCGACGCATCTGACTCATGCATTCATGATGAAAGTATTTGTCATCTCATTAAAGCGCCTTTCGCTGTTCAAAAAATCTATCGCAGTCATTCGCAATTTACATGGCCACGTGTTATGATGTCATCTCTTGACTGGCTGAACGTTGCAGAGTGGCAATGAATCAAAAATGTTTACGAATTTCTGTGTTGATTCACCAACCACGCAGAAACGGTTTTTTTTTAATTTGTGGTGTCATTTAAGAACTATACTGCCCTGAATCACGTTTTTCGATCAATCATATTCAGCCGTCCAAAAAATGCAATGATCCGTCTGTTGCCGATTCCTTTTCTTGATTCATTTCGCAGTGCGTAGTTGCGTGCGATTGTGTTCGTTATAGTGTGTTGCGGGGATGAAGATAGTCAGGAATCCCGAAAATGCAGTCGCTCTGAGAAAAGACGAGGATGGGGATTGTGAAATAGAAACTGATCCCCGTCCCCAACTTTCTTCAGGGTGACCGCATTTTCTTGATTCCCAACCGCAAATTTCAGGCTGCGAACGATTGCAAATTTCATTCCCCGATTTTCCCCATGTCCATCTTTTTGCATTCTCCACACCACACTAGTTCTTCATCATGTCGATTCTTCGAATTTAAATTGAACCGTGATTTTTTATTTCGATTTGACTTTAATTCTTCAGCTGTTGCTCATAAAATATCTTTTCCACTTGATGTTATTTTTGTTCAATAGATGAATCTCTCGAAAGCAATTTTTAGATAATTTTCATCTTATCCTCCTATTATTTCACAATTACTCGAATGCATACTAAGCGTTTTCTTAACCCGTCAGCTTCCACTGTTTCCATGAATCTACCTAGACGATTCAAATGACCCATGATCATTGTCAATTATATGACAAGTGCTAGTTCTTCCATATTCATATTTCTGATCACAACTTTCAATTATTAGTCCTCAATTTCTTTCACTTATCAGAAATCAGCTTTGATGTTCTGATCGTACGCTTCTTGCGATTTGTCTTTGCAAAATGAATGTATTTAATTGCTGCTTCGTCATATCGATACAACTTTCAGTTTCCAAACATAAATTTAGCATTAATCCATTATCGTTATCGCTCTTATTATCGTCATTGCTCAGCTTTGAAAAACTGATTCGTCATTAACTGAGTGAAATAAAACTATTTACTATACAATGTTGCTCAAAGTGGACAATGGTTTTGAGAATTTACATGTCTCTGAAAAGCAGCCAATTGATTTCTTCGATCGTAACGGTCTAGCAAATTCTGTAACTAATCAAACTCAAAGGGTAAGTGTGAACTGTGAGTCAGATCAGCCTGTTGCTTAATCAAAAACTGAATTCTGATCCGATCTCTTCGTCCTTCTCGCACTGTTTTGCAAATATGCAATTAATATCTAGATCTAGTTATTGATTTATTATATTTTTTTAAACACTATTAACTCATTTTTTTTCTATTCGTACGTGTGCGATGTAGATTTATTGTGAATTTCAGATTCAAGATATATGCGAATGTCTTGTTTTGACGAATGAAAAGTTGAGAAAAGTGATGGACGAGCTGTTAAAGAGTATGGAGAAAGGTCTTCGCAAAGAAACTGGCATGTTATTCGTTGATTATAAGTTATTTCTTCTCACTTCAAAACGAGCTTCTTCTCAAACTGTAGATTCGAAATCTGAAGTGAACTCATTTTAGTCATTAAAGTAGTATGATTATAGCGTCGACAGCAGCGATTAAAATGCTACCATCCTATGTGCGTGCAGTGCCGAATGGTACGGAGCATGGTGATTTTCTGGCGCTTGACTTGGGTGGAACCAACTTTCGCGTGCTGCTCATCAAACTTAGTGGTCATAAAGCAGATATGTCTGGAAAAATCTTCCGAGTACCTGACCACATTATGAAGGGAACTGGCACTGCGGTACTGAATAATTAATACATTTGTTTGCGACTGGTTGCTAACTCGAATTAAATTGAAATATTCGAAAGAAACGACGAACGATAACATCGTTGTATTTGTTCGTCGACTGATCATCATCAGTCAGCCTCGTTCCAAATTTACTTTTCGTTTAGATTGCATAGTTGATGATAGCAATGACAGTACAATGATGTTGGAATTGTTATTTTAAGTTATTCGATCATATTGCGGAATGTTTGGCAAGGTTCATGGAGGAGAACGGTCTCATCCACGCTGAGAAGTTACCACTCGGTTTCACATTTTCATTTCCATGCAAACAGGAAGGTCTTACTTGTGCAAAGCTAATCAATTGGACGAAAGGTTTCAAGGCGAGTGGTGTCGAAGACAAGGACGTTGTTACGATGCTTCGTGAGGCTTGTCAACGACGCAAAGTAATCATTCGCATCTCCTTTCTACGCACTCTGTATCCGCATCGATCTGCCGATGCTCGAAATCGATTTGATTGCAGAGTCCAGTTCTGGCATGAATGAGTTTCACCTGGAAATGACCAACCTATCTGTTACATTTAAGAAGTCATCTAACAAGCGAGCCATATGCAAAGCATACTTTAAAAAGCTTCCATCTGTTATTTACCCAAAACTGAAAAGTGTTCATCAATCGCTTGATGCAATAAATATGCACCTTTATTTGTAGAATACATGATTCTGACCGCTTTAACCCATCAGTGCCCACTGAGTATTTCAACTCTTACAATTAGTGAACAAGATCAGTTTTTTAAAATATCGTATTGACACTCTTATTGAAAATACTCGCACTTTACAGTTAGAAACCTGTTCGATAGACCCTATCAGTTATATTAACATTCTATGTGATTGCTTTGTAATTCAGGAACAGTTCAAAGGATCAGAGTTGAAGTAATATTTTTTCATTATTACGGGCCGTGATGAGTTAATATAATTTCTTAATATTGAAAGCATCTGCGACGCACTTAACGAAGATGAATTTAAACTTTTTGTATTCTAATTACTTGCTAATGAGTTAACTGAAATGCTGTTACCGATCATCCTACTCCAAAAAACAATTTGGAAATTTAATTTGAATTTGGAACTTTCAAAGAAAAGATTCGAATTGGGATGTTCAGGATATTGACATTGACGTTGTGGCAGTGTTGAATGATACTGTTGGCACCCTAATGGCTTGTGCGTTCAAAGAGAATTCATGTCAAGTTGGTGTGATCGTTGGAACTGGCACTAATGCTTGCTATATGGAGCAGATCAGCAAGTGCCCCAAGCTAGATGATGAGCATTTGGAAAGTGACGGATTTCCAGCTGAGGTAGGTAGCCTCTTACTTTTACTGTTGTCATTCACACCTTTTCGAAAGAATCTATTCCATAAATGTAGCAGAAAAAAGTCGAAAAATGAGAATATGAGGAAATACGAGCGACGAAAATCTTGTTGTCGAAGAAATTGGAGACACGTTTGCTGATTGATTGTGTTTTATAAATATGTTCTGAGTGTTATTGAAAGATGATCTGATTTACAAGTTCACTGAAGAAATTTTATCATTTTCAGTTGATATTTCCAGTAATTATTGAGTAAGGTAGAAAAAGACGTTATTCCTTGTTGCATAATAGTAGTGACGATAATCTTCTAGATGATCATCAATACCGAGTGGGGTGCGTTCGGTGACGATGGTGTTTTGGAGTTTGTTAGAACTCGGTTTGATCAGGAGGTTGACTCGAACTCAATTAATCCTGGCAAACAACTGTTCGTTTTAATTCGATCTTGCATCAAATCTTTATGATTAGAATCAGTTCTTTTTCGGTAACGTAGTGTATGGTTTTACTGTTGTTAGTTTTTAGCATCATGATTGTAGCCTCGTCTAAAATAGATGGATTGATTTTTACAGCTTCGAAAAGATGATATCTGGCATGTATATGGGCGAATTGGTGCGTGTGGTGCTGGAATATTTGGCGCGTAATAACTTGCTTTTTGATGGCCATTATGATGCAATTTCGCAACGTCATTCGTTCCCAACTAAATACGTCTCTGAAATTGAAAGGTTGCATTCTTGACTTGTTTTGATCTCCCTTCTCATTGCACTTGTATCGAACGAAACTAAGCACACAGTTGTGCCACTAACAAACAAATTTGCAGTGATCTTCAAGAGGATGAGGATCGTTCATTCCAGAAAACGATGCAAATTCTTGAAGATATTGGCATTGAACAAGTATCAATCGCTGACTGTATCAATGTTGCTTATGTATGCTCACTTGTCAGCACAAGGTTTCAATTACGTACATATGTCCATGTAATCACACAGAATGCGTCTCTTTTTTTCATAACCATTTTCACGTTACGCTTTTAGAGCAGCATATTTGTGTGCAGCTGGTATTGCGACGTTATTGAATCGAATGAAGAAACCGCATGTGACTGTTGGCGTTGATGGGTCAGTTTATCGGTTTCATCCAACATTCCCGAAATTACTCGATGAGAAGATCGATACGTTGCTGGATGACAGTCTTGAAGTAAGAACTTGAAGTTTTCATTCTTTAATGAACTTGTGACGTGCGATTTTCTTTTTTATCTCAATGAAGTTGTGCGATCCAAACCGATCAAATTTGAGACTATTTATTAGGCGTTCTATAGTTGCATAGTGCTGATGGTGACCAAACGAAATATGGGTTCGATCGTATTACGAACGTACAGTTCCAAAAATTGCCAAACTTCTATAATTACCGAAAATTGGAAACAATGTTCAAACAGAAAATTCGGTTTGAATCCGATCGAATACCGGTCAATTCCCATCACTGTTGCATAGCATTTGGTTCTGCTGAAGCTACAAGGCTCTTGTTTTGTTTATAGAAGGTTTTATACTGGAAATGAGTTTCGATGCTGATTTATTAGATATGATATGAGGATTCGAATACCACTTAAAGAGAAATGATGAGGTCACGATAACATAAGGGATGATACTTTCAGGTAGAAAAGACAATGCCGAAGAGAAATGGATCATAAGATCATGCTCTTTAATTAGTATAATGTTTTCGATAATAAAGTGTCGACATTTTATTAGAAATATTTTCGAAAAGTGCTATGTTTATTCATATTAATCTGTTTTAAGACAACTGAAACTATGTGCAAAATCAGTCACAAAATCAAATCAAGCATTCAATCGTTCAGTTAAACTTCATTTTTGATTTCAGTTTCAATTGATGCTTTCCGAAGACGGAAGCGGTCGAGGTGCTGCACTCGTGGCTGCAGTAGCGTCTCGTATGAATCGTGAACGTGCTGCTTTAACAGCAGCAGCACATCGGAAAAACTGATGACATAGTGAAAGATATTATTTATTTATTATGATTATTATCATTCGAGCACTTGGAACAATTGTTGTTGAAAATTGCAGCCAGCAAACCGGTGAACTTAATCCATATGGGTATCGATTCACACACAATGAATAGGCTTTAGATAATCATCCACCAATTATGTCGTTGATATTCATTCACAAAAAGAAGTAACATGTATCTAAATCCTTTAATCTACCTATAATCAGTAAGTCTTTTCAACTCTTCTCAATTTACGCTGATCTTTAAGGCCCCCAACGAATTTATTTTCTCCTTCTATAGAGAAACTGTCTTCATTCAGTTATCGGTTGTTACGTGTTCCTTCTACGAAACGTTTTTTGTTTTCTTTGAGAATTCGTTACCAATCTTTTGTGAAATGGAAGAAAACTCTGCAAAAAAAAAACTCCGCTCTATGGATACAATAAGGTAGAAACTTCACCCCATTAATAATTTCCATGCGCATATGAGGCATAATTTATTTATTCAATCAGTTTTCACTATTTATTCTGATGACTTTTCTCGATTTCATATTAGTGATGAATTGTCATTTGTTTATTATTACTAGTACTTATAATATTAATTATGTTACTGTATTTACTATTTTGATCGGGTTTCTTATGTAGTTCTTTTGCATAATACCATCAACATTTAGCTACATTTTACCTTTTTTACCTTAGAAGTAACACTGATTGCCACATTCTCCATTAAGTTCGTATATTCATCATTCATTATTCTCAGTAAACAGAAGAAGTTCGATCAGCTTAGAATTCTTCATTTCCATAGCTGTTTTAAACCTTTGAGTAATTGTCAGACGATTTCATTGATTTTTATCTATTTTCTTTAGTGGTTTTTGTGATGATAAAATTAAAATTACATTCATTGATTGTTGCTTGACCAAACAGCTCAGTACTCAATAGCTCATAACCAGTACATTAAATCTATCAAGAAACTTCTGCTCCTGCCCTCTACTTCCCGATAGAAGAACTTCTAGATCCATCCTTCAAAAAAGCAATAACAAAATATCCATTCTTCTGATTTTGAAACCACTCTTAAAGCGAACACATAATCAAACGTCAACAACGGAAATATATCATTTATACATTAAAACTGCATTACAATCCTAATCAATACCTGAAAACATCAATAATAAATACTATTCGGAACATTATTACTTGAATAGGTGCAATAAAGAATCATGCATCAATTTCAAAAAATGAAAGGTAATCAGTGAATGGGTATTGAATATGGCAACAAATGAATTATGATCTTATTGATGAGTGCGCGCATTAACGAAACAAAACATTTGAACTAACAATAGAAAGTGTTTGAGAGCAGAGCGGATCGGTATCAGTTCAGTCAACAAAACGAATGAAGATGCAAAATGAGAACATCCACTCGTTGCGACAGTCAAGTACACCACCGTTCATCTACTCGCCTAATGGTTTCGTGACTGATCGGTTTCCTTAGCCAATGTGATAATTCATTCGACGAATTATCGAGCATATAATCATTCCAATACCAGATGCATTTATGGAACGGGGATGTACACGTAACGGGGATGTATATATAATGTACACGTAACCACGCATCCATCAACGGTAATAATGAATCACGTCTAAAATACACAAAAGGATGCTTCAAGTTAACATGTTTCGAAAATGACTATTACAATAACAACTGTGCGCTGTTCTAGTGAAAATCAATAACGCTACCCAACGAGTTGCAGCATCAATCTATCGAATACGTATGTGATGATAGTGAGTGTGTGGTTATAGTTGGACTGAATGTGGTAATTTTTTTATTATCATGATGACAGAACATGCACGGATGCACTTCACATTGGAGTGGTCTCCAATTCAACGATTGTTTCACCAGTATTCGATTGATTATCTTTGGCAATCGCATAAGTTAGAAATGCATAGAAGCCTGTCCACAAAGCGTATGGAACTAACAGAAGACCAGCTCTTCGATCAATCTATAATTGCAAAAAATTTTACTTTACTATTAGAATCGAGATTCGTTTGATACTTAACAATTATTCCCAAATATGACGCACGGGAAGTGAAGCAACAGTTCTGTTTATAACAGGTTATAGTGGAATTCAACGCTGTTCTATTCGGAACCGGTTTCAGCTTCATCATACTGGGGTTCGACAAGGTGGCTCTTCATTTCATTACTATCACTATTATCGTGATTTTTTGACAATCCGATTCCGTTTGAATAGAATTCATTGCTTCCAATAAATTCCAAAAAAAAGATTGACGGTTTTTTCCCAAGCAAATCAACAACACAACTGCTGCTTTTAAAGGAAGATTTGAAGTGTTTCAGCAAAAATTACTGCCATTTTTTTTAATCGACAGGATTTTAAGTGAAAGTTTACGCTATTTGTTCATCAGCGGCGACACTAGCGGATCATTCTTAACGAAACAAAAATATTTTTTAGCGAGTTGGCGCAGCTACATTTTTTCAGTAGCGTGCCCATCACTGATGGAATTTCATGGAATCCCCTGCAGTTATGCAACAAAAGAAATGATATACTTTGTATTACACTTACCTTATAGAAAGCATATGATGTAGCGATAGCGGTGACGTGTAAAAGAGCCGTATTATAGAAGAGCTGAAAGCAATTTAGTTCGAATGTCTCACGTACGAATAAAGATCTAACACTCAGACGACTGGTGGTAAAGCTCCCAGATCGCAATGAGCTTTAAAAGAAATTTCAATAATCTACAAAACGAGCTCCTCGATTTGATGAGAAGAAAATCAGACTCGACTAGACTTACGCAGTTCAGATTGCGTTTCTTGAACAATGGAATACTTGCTAATGCCACTACGATGTTTGCACCATATAAACCAAGCGCAACCTTAGTGTCAGTGTAATCAAAACCTGAAACATTCGGGTGATATTACAAGCAGTTCGTCATGATTCTGCGTAGATGACTGAATAATAATAATAACAATGAAATGATTCTCACCTCCACCAGTTTTGTAAACGATACACGAAGCATAGCCCAGTGGACTCATTGTCAAGAAATCCATTGCAGAATACAGTCGTACATCTTTGGGTGCCCAACTAGGTTTTTTTGTTTTCTAAAAACAATTCTTCTTGAGAAGCAGTTTCACGATAGCGTAAACAAATCAGACAACAAATTGAACCGCCACTGAGACGAACATCGATGTTGAAACAAACTGAGCACTGAGTGAATATAAAAGACTGAAATTGATCAATGAAAAGAACATCAACCAACTACAAACCGTCCACCAATCAATCGAATCACGATCGTTCACAAATGCTGCAAACGCAGTTAACGCTGCACTCCCAGGGATTGCCGTCGCGAGGAGAGCATGTTTTGTATCTTCAAACGTCCATACCATCGTGGAAACAACCAATTATTTTTAGTTGATTTTGCTGACTTCAAAATAAATAAGTTGGCATTTTATTTTGCAAATATATCTATGAAAAAATACACGCTTTAGTTCACCACTTTATTTACATCGCAAACAAACGTGAATTGTTTCGAGTTCAAGTTAACAATGAAGTGACGTAAAGCTCAGTCTCAAGTACACAAGCATCGTGCACAATAGCTCGAAACTTTGCTCAGACTACCGGCGATAGATTTTGAACAGTGCGAAAGAAAAGATGAATATTTGGCTCTATTACCTCAATCAGCGATTCGCCAATTGGCAAGAGTTCAATGTTAACATATCCAATGTTAAATTCAACATAACTGACACCAAAATTCATAAATGTTAAACAAATTACTTATCGTCAACATGCACAACGGAATATTTCATTCAGTAAAGCTCACAACTGATTACAATAATAAAAGGAACACGTACAATAATGAGTTACAAAGAATTACGTGATGCGTAAACAGGATTCGGAAAACCGAATGTTGAATTTGATCAGAATGAGTGTGGAGCCAGTTAGCCATGATCACTTACCTGCAAGCGTCAATTAATTTATTTATTTATTCAGCACAAAGGCTTAATAAAAAACTGATATGTGCGTGATACTAACGCGTACAATAATGGAACATACAATACGTGCAAAGGTTCCCTCCTTGACTGCGGCCCTTACCTTCAACCATGGAGCAATTTCGTGTTTCCTTAATAGAGTAAGCAAAAAGTGAATTTACTTTTACAGAAAATTGAGCAGTCGCGTGTACTGAAAGTAACAGTGAGTAAAGTGTTTGAAAATGATTACGAATAATGAAAGAATACTGTAGAGGTAATTAATGAGTAAAAAATAAAAATATTTTTGCTAATTTTTTGAGCGTTTTGAAAATTCACTATCATAATTTTTTGAATTTTTTGCATCTAGGTTCCATTTTTTGAAGTGTTGCAATGAATGACATAAATATGTGGAAAATGGAACTGAAGAAAAAACCCAATTAATCGGGTAAAGTTATGTACTAATAAATGATCCATGCAAAAGCTGTTCGCTGTTTCTTGTTCATTCATACATCTGACTGAACATGAAGATCAGTTGAAGAATGAAATGAAATTTTTGTAGGCTTGGTGCAAATCTATCCATTTTTAATCGGTGACACGTTCATGTAGTGTCCTATAGCTTAATTGTACCGTTTAAAATCTCACACTAAACACTGCCCCGTAGTAATTTAGTTATTCTTCATCTTGCTCACTAATAGCCTCTTTGGGTTTCTTGATTCAAGAAACGTCCTCTCCATTTGATCCTCTTTCGCTGTTCCGTTGAACGTTTTATATTCTTTACACTAATCAATCAATTTGCCGCTGTTGTTTCTTCACTTCAAATAGTTTAGATTTACAAGTTAACAGAAATGATTGGCGTATCGCCTATCCATCAACTATACATCTCTTCTTCAAGTGACTGCATCAATCGCTCGAAAATTCAACACTCACAATCAGAATACTCGTAAATCACAGTAAACACATTTGATATATTATCTGATAGTGCCACTGCAGAGATCGTGCTGAGAAATGTCTTCTTGGAATAACGTGAAAGCGAGTGGCGATAATCAAATTGACGTACGTACAGTTGTGGATTACGTTTGGAGTTTGGCTCAGGCTGAGACTCTTCCCCGCTGAGGTATCAATTAAAGGAATTGTATCTATTAATCAAAAAATGCTTTGCCGTTGTGAGCCTCCGCTTAAGCGAATGGACCAGATGAGAAAACTTCGAAAGTGGGCAGAACAAATAAGGGTGTTCATTCGTAATCCGCGATGCAATGGAAGACTAAAGATGACTGAATTACCGTATATCCTCAGTGATCCATCGCAAACAATCTCACTCTTTTATACTGGTATTCAACTTGATCATCGAAAATGTTGCAATGTATTATAGTTGATTTATACAAGCACGGATCGAGCATTCATTGAGGGCAATTAAATTCCTTGTGGAAATTCAGTGGAGCAAATCAGTTGGAACCGAAATGTTAAAATACACTACTTGTTTATTGAAAGGACAGAATTGTACTTGGCAGCATTTTCAAAAACTGTAACAGTATCAACATTTAACAATGCCCGAAAAAATGGCACAAATTCACAAAATATCTTGCAAATGATAACTATATCTTCCCGTACGATTTTGTGACTCCGGGAGTTTTTTTCAAGAGTAAACTAAATCTCGCTTTTTGGAATATCTTTTTAAAGCATTAATCCGCTGCTCATTTTCGGCTATCCTTCGCTTCTGTTCTGATTCTGTTGGTGTCTCAACCAAATTTTACTTACCCAGTTTCTATGTTCAAATGATCTGTCCGATCAAGTCATTTCAAGTTTTGTGCACTATCAGCGAACACTCGTTTTTGCTTCGTCCATTTTGCAACGATTTTTCAAACTGTTCAACGAACATCAGTTGCTTGCAAAATATTACTGCCAAAGCGCATATTACACTTGAAGTCGGCAACGTTGTCACCGCAGTGTAGCGTTAGAACGATAATGGTATACGGAACATACATGGAACTCGAAAAAATTGAATTTTGAAATTCTTTCGCGATGTTTGGGATTTGACTAGAGAGTTAGTTCGTCATGAACGAATGCATGAAGCTGCATCATAGAAATTTTCCGAACTGAAGTAATACAGCTTCTTAGTTACATCAATTTTTCTTAACGTATAAGTGGAGAAAACAGGAAATCTTAAACATAAGAAATTTCAACGCTTCCGCATAACGTCAGAAGTCAAATTTTTGACCGTGAATGGGTTTTAAATTGAACTAGTAAGCTCGATGGCAGAACAATACTAGATCCGTTTCAGTCAGCTGCTTTAGACTGGCAGTAAAACGGTAACCAGATTCATTACAGCAGTGCATCTCAAACCCTTGCGTCACGTACCCCTTTTGGCCATATGGTAAATCACCATTCCCTCTCCATTCCTTTGTGGCAACGAATCAGATCACATTAAATGACTCATAACGTTAGTTTCGACATCGTTACGAACCGTGAAGTGCTCGTTCGTCCACTGTTTATTTCATCACCGAGTGAAATTACTTTTACGAATTACTGCTAAAGTTGTTTATTATAATGTCGTTGTTAAATTCCATTCACTTCATTCATTTGAAGATCATTAGTCTCAAACATTGGGCTCATTATTGCATCAGTTACAATCAACCACTCATTTGAATTAACCGTTGAAAAATTCAAAATGAACACATTGCCACAAAGTCATAAAGCAATACTCCAAAATATAATTCTCTACATTCGCAACATTATAGAAATTCAAAAATTCTCCAATGAACAATTCAAAAAGAGCATTTACTTTATATGTATTAAGTGAAGTAATAAAATACTCGAGATATCAGTCGTACAATTTTATTTCACTGAAGTTGTTTTCAATATTTCAAATACAAGTGCATAACATCTCACATAAATGCTACAGTTCTTTATAAAATTGAGCATTACATGAATTCATTCGGCCGAAAAGGCTCAACAATGAATTAGAAGTGGAACAATTCAGCTGCATTTTACGTTTACACTTACAGCAATACAGACTTGAGCAAAACGACAAAAATTTAATCGTCACCTTTTATTCGCTCATCGATTTATTTTGTATATCAATGATCGAACAGAAGGTGACGATTAAACTGATTCATAAAAACGGTACGAACCTATATAAAATAAATAATGTTCGAATATACTAAAAACTAAGAACGTTTCATCTGATATAAAATAAGCATACAAAAATATGGTTTTCATAAGTGGCAATCAATGAATTTGTAAGAATAATACAATGGAGTAAACAACATGGAAGGAATGCGTAATCGAATCAATATAAACGAAGAAAATATCACTGGAATCTGCTTCCCGTAGACTATCAACTGCTTATGTCAATCGTCTTCCTCACAGTGCTTTCGTCAATTCGGGCACAGCTTTGAAGAGATCAGCTTTCAAACCATAATCAGCCACCTAAAATGAGATAATGAGTAATGATCGTGAGGAGCAACTTTTTGGCCGCGGGGTCCCCGTCAAAGAACAAAGTGAACGAGGAGAAACCTGGACAAAAAAAAGTCGAAGAGCGAATTACCCGCGGGATTTCCTGCGGTAAGGAATTTCCCGACCAAAAAGTCGGGAAATAAAACTGTCAAGAAACGCGATCCCCGAAGGAACCTCATTTTCCGACGAACACTAGTAATCTGAGTTTATGGATGCAAACTGTTTCAATCGATCCATTCACCGTCACTACTCATTTCAATAATAAAGGATGACTGATAAAAACAACCTGAAATATCGGCGCATCAGCATCTTTATTAATCGCAACAATCACTTTACTATCTTTCATTCCAGCAATGTGTTGAATAGCACCGCTTATTCCGATCGCAATATACAACTCCTTGAAATATAAAAATTAACGATGTTCATCATCAAAAACAACAACACATTATTTGTTCAAAATGGAACAGTTCAGTATCAGTAATATAATAATAATAATAATAATAATAATAATAATAAATTTTTAATATCAGAAACTCTAACTGGTGCAACTATTTTTCCAGTTTGTCCAACTTGCATATCGTTCGGCACATAACCAGCATCGACGGCAGCACGTGACGCACCAACACCAGCATTTAGTTTATCGGCAAGATCGTAAATTATTTTGAAATTCTCTGCAGATCCTACACCCCGACCGCCCGACACCACTACCTTCGCAGAGTTCAATTCAGGACGTGATGACTTTGTCAGTTCTTGTCCCACGAATTTCACTTTATCAAAAGATAAATCCGACGATGGTGCTGAATTATTCATTTTATTTTAAACTACGCTTGCAATGTTCGACTGAGAATATGATATGACGACGAACTAAATACTACCCAACAAATACATTCAAAAACTCAACAGCCTAGCATAAATTAACGACCGAATGACGCAGATAAAAACAAACAATAATAATAACAATAGTAATGACAATTTAACTAAAAAGTAAAGAACATGCCATCTTCAGCAGCACCGCTTCCTCCCTCCAGTTTCGCCGGTGGAAAGGCTGTACTTCGAAAAGTGATCATTTTGATCGGTGCAGTGCTTTTTACCTTAATAATGCATTAAGTAAATCCTGATCAATGAAACAATCGAATAGCACACTCGAAAGAATGTGTTTTGCGAATAAAGCAGCACCTTGCTGATCGCATTGCCCGCATACATCGGCCTCGAGAAAGTATCCTCCGAATGAATCTCAATAACATCGCTTAACGGTGAAACGTCCAATTTCGCAGCCACTCTCGGAATAAGACTACGACCAAACGCACTCGCACCCGCGACGATTGCGTTAAATTTGAACTGATTTTGTGACGCCAAAACGACATTTGTTAAAAGTTCTGCAATACAAAATTGTTAATTTTCATTTAATTTAAAATTGGATTTCAGTCGTTACAAATGAAACATAATACAATAAAACGTATCCAAACCGAACACCAAACACCACATAAATGAAGTGGAAACGTCGTCGTTCCACTTAGTGAATTTGATTGTTCGCAATAAGCTTTGGAGGTTTTTAATTCAGTCACCAATATGAAATAATGACAACAAAAAAACGATCAACAAGAGGTAACGCGATACTAACCTGGCAACTGTGCTTTAAGCTTTTCATCTTGAGCAACGAGTACCCGCTTTACATGTTCTACTTTAGTCACCTGAAGTCAAAATTTCGAGATTGCAACTTCTCGATAACAACTTGCGGATGTCTCTCATAAGAAAGATACCAAACAAAATGTACATTAGGAAAACTGGAGTAAGGATACCAAAATGGATCAGAATACCTGTTCAGCAATTTTTTTAGCGTTCGCACCAGCCACAAGCACCGAAACATCACCAAGTTTAGATGCAGCCGTTATGGTATTTAAAGTAATCGAATTCAACTTAGTGTCGTCATGTTCAGCAATTACCAGTGTACTAGCAAAGCGAATGTCACTCCTTCGTATCTAAATGGGATTATTTTATCAAAGAAAAGCCTCAAATGATTAATCAACCTTAAAAGCAAAATTTATTTCTCGACGAACACACTATCTTATGCATTCCTTAAGAGATATAACGCAGATGAACAAACCGCTGTGATCTGTGAAACAAATCGAAAAACTGGTCTCGCTGACAGCATTCCTAATTGCCTCCTACAAGAATACATGATATTATTTGAACATTCCTTCATCCTCATCAACTAGCATTAATTTACTTCATCAGCTAACAAATAACATATCGCGATACTGACTGGCTTTGATGTAGAGCAACACAAATCGACTGAGATCTTAAACACATAAATCAACAACTTCACTGATAACAACTATCATCAATCGAATGATCACTTACAGATCAGTGCGTGCCAACTTATTATCAGCGCAGCCAGTGGAAAACTACTGTTGTTATCAATAAAGGAAATTTCAACATGAATATCAAACCTAAGAAAGTTTGGTTCTCTAGAAGGAGACTGCAGAATTGTCGATCTCGAGCTTGACCAAGGTTTGCCGGGTTGAACCAAGACTTGCGAGGCCGAGCAAAAATTTGGTGGTCGACGAATTACTTTGTTCTGGTGTCTAGTCCCGGCCTGGCAAGTCTTGGTCCGGTCAGGCTGCCCCGAACCGGTAATCCCACACTCTCTCTAGGAGTTAATTTGATCGATCTGAGATAGGATGAAACAGCAAAATGGAACAACTTGATTTTGTCCATCATTTCAGCAGAGCATCGATGAAAATCAAAATAAAACTAACTGATAAAACTACTAGCAATAATAAAAACAGAAACAAAAGCAAGTAATGATACTCAGAGTTGCACTTACCAATTTTAATAATGACAGAAATACAATATACAACTAATTGTGATTACATGAACGATAATATTATGTGATCAGTGTTGACACAATTACATTTATTGATCTTATTAGACGGCTGATAGGTATTGCTGTCGTGGGCGTGATGGGCACGAACCAAACAGCACGAAGTCAGAGAGAGAGCACCGCGCGTCAGCGGTTAGAAAGAGAGCAGAGCACGAAACAGACATGTGAACGGATGTGGTGGTTGCGATCGAGAGAGCGCTCACGTGAATAATCGCAGCGATTGAAGCATCTTCAAGTATTTCCTACAAATGATGTGTGTGTGTGCAACGTGGTAAATTTCGAAACGCATGAAATACTCAAAGCACTATTATTTCCACACAATTTTATGACCTCTTACTATAGTTGTGCGAATGAAGAATTGTTTCATTTTCAGATGATAGCGCAATTGCTGATGAATGTTTGAAATTCTCATCCTTATCGCAGACTACTTACACCATCTTGATGATATCGAATTTCGCATCATTCTCCATCGCAACAATCTCCCTTTTCATCATTTTTCGAAATTAGTCCACCACAAAAATTGTTCACATTTTACGCCTCCAATAAAAGTTTATGCTTGGATAAGGCACCCGAAATCTCTTTATGCGGTATTCTAGTTGAGGTCTCTTTGTGTTTTTAACTAGTTACGTAATCTTCACTGAAAACTTCATTTTCCTCGTTTCAACAGCATGAACTTTGGAGGTTTGTTTGTGAAACATACTTCGAAAAATCGAAGTTTGATGCAGAATAGCAGAGATCTGCATATGTTTCAATGGATATCGATGCGATAGTTCAGTTATCTGTCCAGATATCTGTAAAAGTTGAAAAACGCAAAACAAAATGTGAACAACACCAATCAACGAAAACGAACCACGAAATACGGGTGAAGTTACAATGTTAAGCATTCAATTTCGATCACGCCAACAACCAATGTCTCGCTACCAGCATTAATTGCATTGCAAAACAAACAAAAACATCTCATTAAAATGTTTTTATGTTTAATTATGCCAACATAATTATGTTCTTCGAAATTCTCAGGTTTCAATGGATCCAACGGTATAAGAAAATTCACATGTCAAAATTCAATCCAGAGAGTACACGCTAGGCTTGAAGACGGCAACCCTTTAGCTTTCAGAGAGCATCAAGAAAATATCTGTATCTCCTCAAGCAAGCAGAATTCCCCAACAAAATTATGTTTTTCGGAATCATGAGGCTCCGTCGGATCGAATCGTTCAGAGATATTCATGTGAATGGGCAAACCTCAGAGCACTGCTACCTCGAAAATGGCGATCGCTATAGTAATATAGCAACCCATGGATTGATGTGTGGAAATCAATGTATGTAAATCCGCGGCACCGCACTGGATGAGATAGCTTTAAGAAATTGGCTACTCCTCCTCAGGAAAGCAAAACTGCACAGCCAAATATATTTTTCTGAATGTAGAGATCCAGTTGGATCGAATGATGCCAAAAAATTCGTACGTTACTGGGCAAACTTGAGAAGACGGTAGGCTTGAATGTATCAATCACATATTTCCATAGTAATGTATAATATGCATTGATCTGTAGTGATGAAATGCATATCAA